CACTGAAATAAAAATGTTAATTGATTCATTAATTATAGCTTGATTTATGTTCAGTGGGAAATATTTCATGCATATTCAGGATGATATGATGACGAAAGAAAATTACATATGATAAACAATCAGTTGGGACTATTATAAACACCAAAAAAGATATCATTTTTTTCTAGTCTGAAAAAAAAAGAGAAAAGGGCATTCAATTCCTTCTATTTTGAAAGAGAATCAATTAATGCTGCTTCTTTCCAAGAACAAGTTTTTTTGGCATTTAAGCTGAAATCAAAAATGACATTGTGGCATGTTTAAACAAAAATAAAAATCTCTTCAGGTGAATATGCATGCAATAATATATATTCTTTATTTGTTGCTATGTGATAGAAATGGGACCGAATTGTAACAGGGACAAGAAGGTAACTGGCTTAGTTTTCGGATCTACCCCATGGATGTGTGACAGACACAAGTTGATTATTTATTAGACATATAAACGGGGAAGCACTTTTAAATCAACTGTATTTACTATTGTACTAAAGCACACCATTACCATGGATAAAATTGACATCAATTTGTGTATTGAAATAATACACTATAATGGTCATTTGAAATAAAATGACAATGAACTTTTCCTTAATTGTTGTCTCAAAATCATACTAAAATATGTAGCAAAAAAGGGACTGCCTGGCTAGCAATAAATTAATATATCTAATGTCCATGTGAAATTGGAAAATGGCTGTCATATAAATTACTTTTATTAAATAGAAAATTTGAGTTAAATGAAAACGTGCTAATTTGTATGCAAGAATATATTTAGAATAACCATACATTGCCTCGAAATATAAAAAAAATATTTACAAAGCTTAGAAACAGGTAGAATGTGAGGCTTTGCCAAGCATTTTTATTACATCGGATGTGACCTTGAGAGGTCATACCGATGTTATGTTGCCGCAGATATTTCTGCACACGTCCCTTGAGCTTTTGACTGATAACCGAACGTGTTTCGTATAAATATGCAGATATTATCGAGTGCAAAATAACATTCCTTATCGCTTGTTATAAATTCGTTTCTTTAATGAATACTCATGAAAATATTTTTTAAGAACATAAATAAATAATATGAAAATGCTTTGTCGTGAGAATATATATTTTTGCGCCTGTCCCAAGTCAGGAGCCTCTGGTCTTTGTTAGTCTTGTATGTTTTTTAATTTTAGTTCATTTATATGTTTTGGAGTTTAGTGTGACGTCCATTTTTCACTTAACTAGCACAAAATTTTATTTAGGGGCCAGCTGAGGACCACCTCTGGGTGCGGGATTTTCTCGCTGCATTGAAGACCCATTGGTGGCCTTCGGCTGTTGTCTGCTCTTTGGTCGGGTTGTTGTCTCTTTGACATATTCCCCATTTCCATTCTCAATTTCATATAAGTAAAAAAATCATTAATATCTATGCACACATACCGAAAAATTGTGTTTGCGGATGAATATGTCATTTATATCATGTGTATTGAATAATTGTAAGGTGAACATATCTGTCTGGCAGGTTTCATAATACCGCCTGTCATTTATTCATCATCCAACATAACTTGCAGTCATCCGATGTTCAGTACTTCAGTACTTGGATCTTGTTTCTAGCAGAGTACAAATAAAATTTATATTTCGAGACAATTTATTGTTGTTCTCTTTAAACTGAAACTCTTACAACTGTTCCACATAAAACTGTTAGGGTAAAAACCATGAGTTTCGAAATTGGATGCAGACGACAAAAAGGTAATATACAGTCAGTGACTGTAAATCACAAATGAATATACTGCCAATGCCATTTGACGGTGCACATATATAGCACAGTTGCAATATAAATGTCCATAGCAAATCATGCCTCTTTCACACTATCACATTTCTATGACCCACAAAACACTATTTTGGCATATATTTTCAAAAGTTCAAATCATAATGAACATATGCACCTTCAACTTCATGATAAACTACATTAAACAAAAACTTTAACCTGATACAGGACAGACAAGCAAAGGGACAAAAAGATGATTGATTGTTGGTTGCTTAGCGTCCTGGAAAGGATGAACAGACAGAGAGATGATCAAACAGACAGTCCAGAAAACATAATGCCCTCTACAATTGTAGAATACTTTCATTCTTCCTGTTAATCCCTTCATTTAATGCAATGTTAATATAATGAATGGACAAAAAATATCACCAGAATTTAGCCTATTTCAGTATCATAAAAGCAGAAAATAAATTCCTGTAAAAATACCATGACAAAATCTGAAATTTATATGTTGACAGTGACTCTCAACAGCCCCTCATCTTAAAACTGTAAATCAATAATATTGAGGCAAAGGTGTCATTTTAGATAATAATAAATGAAATATGAGAAATAAATAATAAAAAAATCTATGATGGTGGTGAATAAAGGATGGCATGTACAAGTAAGAACACTCTAGAGGTCTTTAAAAGTGAAAATAAAATGGTATGAAAGGCATACTTTTTAAACTATTGAATATGAAAAATCACACAGTATCATGATCAATATTTATCAAGTTGCTTTCTCATGAAGATTCTCAAGACTTAAGTGAGTCAGATATCAATAATTATAATATAAATATGATCAGAATTTTGTATATTCTTTCAGCCTTCAAAATTCTTGCTCTTAAGGAAAAATTGCAAAATTGATTAAGTTGATTAAGCACCTGTCCTAAGTTAGGAACCTGATGTTTAGTGGTTGTCGTTTGTTGATGTGGTTCATAAGTGTTTCTCGTTTCTTGTTTTTTATAAAGATTAGACCGTTGGTTTTCCTGTTTGAATGGTTTTACACTAGTCATTTTTGGGGCCCTATATAGCTTGCTGTTTGGTGTGAGCCAAGGCTCCATGTTGAAGGCCATACTTTGACCTATAATGGTTTACTTTTACATAATTGTGACTTGGATGGAGAGTTGTCTCATTGGCACTCATAGCCTCATACCACATCTTCTTATATCTATATAAGTTGTCTCCTTATTTAATATTTAGATACACCTTTATGCGCAACAGCCTTACCAAAAAGTGATAGCACAAAATGAAAAGAGACTATGTCATATATATTAAAGGTCAAATATTTTTCAAGGTAATGCTGTTGCTTTTATCTTTTTATAGGAACTGGTAAAACTGGTCATTTTAGGCCAAATAATTAAATTTATAATTCTACTATTATTTGCATATCTACAAATACTTGAATGTGTCCGTTAGAAATGTTTTCCAGGGTTTACATATTTTGAAAGACCATGTTACAAGAAAATTGAAATTGAAAAGTTTTGATTGAGAATTATAAGGATTAAACACAATCTTTTTAGGTTACTGATTTGTAAACCTTTGGACTTTATTCATTTTGTGAGTTACTGTGGATTCATTATTATTCGTTGGATACCAATTTTCGTGGATTTCGTGGGTACAGGGAAACCACAAATTTAAATGTTCAACGAATTGCAGACTTTTGGAAAACCATGAAATCAAATATCCACGAATTTGCAAGTTTTCCTCAATCCACGAAAATTGATACCCACAAAAATAAATGAATCCACAGTAAATGGTCCTGTTTACACATCAATAACCTCTACAAAAATGTGTTTAATCCTATAGTGACATGACTATGACTCCACAGTGACATCATAGATGAAATTTCTGCTCTAAAGTGTTGAGACTACATCATCCTATATTTATTTATCAATAAAATTACCAAGTGGGAAAGTCGATCAAGGAACTAATACAAGTTTTATCCATTTTGTTATATCATAATCAGGGACATAATAATTGTGGATTTTATCACACATGTATATACAATTCCTCCTTCTATTATGATTCACATTAGAATCAGGAGTATATGAAGTTCATATACTCCTGATTCTAATGTGAATTATAATAGAAGGAGGAATTGTATATACATGTATGATTAAATCCATGAGATATGAAATGTCCGGCTGGCTCAAAAAAGTATGAATATGCTGCATCTGTTTAATTAAACCCAAATATGACCGAAATATCTTTGTGAAATAGATTGTCACAATTATAAACTATAATGCCCAAAACGGACATTTTTACCGATTGATAGTTGGTAAAAAAAAGTGAAATGACCGTTTTATGAAAATGCCTTGAATAACAAAGAGTGGCAAACCTATGATATTTGACCGTCTGAGGCTGAGAGCAGCCGGACTTTTTATATAAATTTCTGTCAAGTCCGGAATATATGACCATTTTGGAAGCCATGATATGAACCAATATACCATTGTGAACTTAAGGCACTGACTACAAAGTTATTACTGGAGTTCATGCATTTCATCCTTTCCCAATTAAGCTAGTATATCAGAACCAAAATTTATTGTAGAATATCAAATTGAGTGGGAAGAAAATCAGGAGCCTAAAACTTTATTGTGATCATATGCTTGGTGCTGTTTGAGTTTTCTTTGATCTCCATAGCTAAGTGTTGAACTCAATATACTATAGCCTAAACCTTATATTTTTAGAAATCAACTTGATAGTTATCTTTCAGCAAATAATCTATTTTATGGAAAAAAGAGAGGAAACTTATGAAAACAGAAGTGACCTGGAAAAGAATTAAAAAGTACAGAAAAAAACTTGCATGGTACATTCCTAATTTTAGAGCAGACGGTTTCCAACCAAATACATTGTACTTTGATCAATCAGGAATCAAGGAAGGATTGCTTCTGGTGTCCATGTTTTACAACCAGATCAGAACAAAATGAGGACATTATATATAAGAATGTCCATAATTTTATTCTGAAAATTTTTATTCACATTGTCTATTTAGTTGCAGTGGAGACTATGAAAATGGGAAAGTAACTGGACAACACATGCAGATTGATGTTTGTCAAGAGATATAACAATACCTCTTACTGCTGCATTAAGTAAGAAAAGTGAAAAGTAATTTACTTAAGTTAACTAAGCTGATCAGATGACAGATATTATACATACCTTTTTTTCTTAATACTTTAAATAATAAAGGATACTGATTTCTTGAAAACTTCCTAATGGTCTGATTAAACATCCCGCTGACCCTGATGAACTTGAAGGCATGTAACCCAGACAACCATCTGCATAAAAGGAATTTACTTTCTGCAAAAAAAAATCTTTTTTTAATATCCAGTAGATATCACCATTACTGTTGCTAGTCAAAAGTTATTTCTTGGGAAAACCTAATAAACTACTCATTGTGTCTACAATCCTATATAAAATGGCTATACATGAAAAAATTAAGGTCAAAGTTAATAAAGGAAAGTAAATAGCAGCAGCATGTAAGTTTCAATATATTACAATATACATAGACAATATCCGTACATTTTACCAAAATATAAATTTATTTGTATGAGCTTTAGAAACAGGGAGGAAAGCAGGCTTGCCGAGCTTTTCTCTTGTTTCGTAGCCAGTACAAATGTATTTTCTATTTTCCTTCAATGTACAAATATTGTTTTTAATCCTGCAATTAAACATTTACTCTTAAAAGTATAGTTGTTTAACTTCCCAACAGTTGAATGTGTTTTTGAATGAAATCAATACAACTTATAAGCGGACTGCAATGAGGACCCCAAATTGAACTGTGAGGTAAACAGTAATTTGAATATAACCGTTAGCTCACAACAGATGTGATACCAGTAGAAGAAGTCTTTCGCTTCATGTTATCTGTCAACCTGTAATTGTATAGTACAATGGTCCATTGCAGGATAAAGTATTATACATGATCCTTATTTTAGTGCTCATCCTGATCGATTTTAACCTTGTATTCAACAGTACCAAATATGTCTTAAATTGAAGCAAACTAGCTCGACATGTACATCTTTTTATTACATGATTGATAACGGTCCAATTTAATAATAAACTTGACTGATTTATGACAGTGGGTGAATGAAAAGGAGATCAGAATGACCTTATTTCAAACAGATACTGACCTGCACACTAAAAGAGAGGCAAGAGATCCCAAAGTGACATTCTAACTCACAAGTTGAAAATAAACTGACAATCACATGCCAAAAAAAGAAAAAGACAAAAAGACAAACAACAGTATACAAAACACAACATAGAAAAGTAAAGACTGAGCAACACAAACCTCACTAAAAGCCAAGGGGTGATCTCGTGTGCTCCAGAAGGATAAGCAGATCCTGCTCAACATGTGGCACCCTTCATATTACTCATGTAACTACAAACCTGGTGATAAGTCTCATTTGGTAGGTCAAATTTGGGGAAAAAAAGGAGGGTGGGATTGTGGTTACTACAGATATTCTGTTACAAAGTCAACCAAATCGTGATGGCATCAGTAAAATTTTTGAAGGGATGATTTCAACTTCACCACTTAAAACTCATGGTTTAATTGCTTCCTTGTGATCATGAACATTCCCTCTTTTCGTCTTTAAAATAAGCTCATTTTTGTCTTAAATCAATTATCATGACTGCTTTAAAACCATAATTAGCATGGTACCCTTATATATTTCTACTGGTATTCTCATGTTGGTTAACACAGCTTATTATCAAAAGTTGGTGATTTTTCCACATTCATTTTCTAATTTCTTACTCTACTTCAGGTGTAGTATTCAGACTTCTCCTTCATAAATAAAGGTCAGACGGGGCTACCTTTCTAAGGATAACACATGAATATGATTGTTAAAGAAGCATTTAACTTATTTCTGGTGTTCACTGTGACTTGATAGTAAGTGTTGCTGATTTGACTGTATTTTTTCTACAGTAGTTGGTTAAAATTTCTGACCAGTTGAACAAAACATTTTAAATGCAATTTGGTCAGAATTTTGAAGAACTGTGATAGGTGGACAGCACATAATTTGGACAGTCTTCATGATAATCTTTTTAAAATTTATTTTAGATATGTCATTCGGACCTCGAAGTGAAACTCATAAACAAAGATAATGGCATTTTCACAGGCCTTAATAATTATCAAATATAATATAAATACGACGTATCACATAGCCATAATATTAGAATTTAAAATTCAATATTAAAACTTTTATAAACATATATCATACAATGATTTAAAATTATCTTTTTTAAATGCAATGAAGAACCACTAATTGTAACATTTTTAGTGACTCTAAAATATTTAAACCACACATATCATTGTAAAAATCTACGACTTAACATACCAAATCTTTGACTACCTATCCATTTGAACATACTTGTTCGTCCGTGTCATTTAAATGATATTTCAATTCATATTTCAAACATGCACAACTTTAAACTTTTACTTATCTAACCCTGTAACCAAAGTCAAACTAAAGAAGTAGAATACCTGTGTTATAAGTAACAGTTATGGCGCTCTCTCATCAGGTTCATGTTAGTTGTGGTCTATGTGAAACTGATAGACCAATTAAGTGGAAATGTTTGGACTGCGGTATACTTATGTGTAATCATTGCAAGGAAAAAGTACATTCAAAATTTAAAAATGCTCAGGATCATAAGATCATTGATATCAGAGATATAGGATTGCATTCTACAGAATTAGATTTTAAAAATATAAAGTGCAAAGAACATGATGAACAAAACTGCTGTCTCTTCTGTAAAACCTGTGACAATTTAGTCTGTCCAACTTGTGTGTCCAAAGTTCACAAGAAACATGACATTATCGAAATAAGGGAAGAATACGATATAAAAATAGGCAAACTGAAAAAAGAAAAAACTAATATTCAAATGGAAAAATCAAACATGGCAGCTAAAATGGATCATCTCAACGAACTAACAATTGCTGAGAAGTCAAAATTCACAAAAGTAAGTCAAGATATTCTTGATCACGAAAAATCTGTCAGAGTTAAAGTTAATAATTATTTCAAAAACCTTAGAAACCAATTAGATCAAGGCCACAAAACTGCTATGAAGCCCATTGAATCTGATCAAAATACTATCTCAGTATTGATGAAGCTTGCAGATTATAAAGTCAATGAAGTACAGGACTTAATACAAATTTCCAATGCTTCAAAGTTCTTCACAGATGTCAAATTTATGGAGGAATCCATGACAGTCCAAACACCACAAACCAAGTCAAGTTATGGCTCTTCCCCAATATTTATACCAGGGGAGATAAATCAGTCTAATGTTGGAGTAGTACAAAGTGACCAAACTCCATCAGATGAACAAAATGTTGTGTTCAATATCAATAAACAATATAAAACAGAACTCAGTACGATTTTTTTTTTATCTCCATCCCCTGACAATTCATTGTGGATAAGTTCTGGATCAACTGGAGAGTTAAAAAAAGTAAAATCAGAAGGAAACAAGCTAAGAGTCATATCTGACTTCAATGTCAAGCTCTATGGCATGGCAACACTTCCATCTAATGATGTCCTCCTGTCCACAGGGAAAACCACATTACAGAAGTTAGATATAAAAACCGCTAAATTAACAGACACTGTATATAATGTAGATCCATTACCTTCTACAGGCATCCACATTACCAGTGGTAAGAAATTTATAGTAGGAGGTTATCATAGTACACTGGGAAAAAGTGCTGTTTTTGTCATTAATGAAAATGGATGCCATGAGAATGTGTATGAACATGACCAACATAATCAACCCTTATTCACCTTTCCTGACTGTATAACCAGCACAAGCAATGGGAATATACATGTGGTAGATCGAAATCAAGACAGAGGTAGAGTGGTGGTGTTAGGACAGGGAGGTAATATAATCAATACATATCCAGGAAATACGAATGTCAGCAAGAACAAAATATTCATTCCAAGCAGAATAGTAACAACACCAAGAGACAATGTCATTGTACTGGATAAAGATGCTTTCTGTCTGCACATTCTAACCAATGCAGGTCAGCTAATTACATTATACAACACAAAAGACATAGGAATAGTATATCCACATTCCCTTGCCTTTACACCAACAGGACAGCTCTTCATTGGATGTTGCAAACCTGAAGGCAGTAAAATCAAGGATGCCAAGCTATATGAAGTCGAAATATCAGGTTGTTAAAATTAATTTACAATAAAGGAACCGAATTGAGTAAATTAAAACTTCTCAATACATTACTATGCAACAAATAGATATGAATATTGCTATGAATCTCAGTTTATGACCAAACTCAGTAAAGACACGTCATTGTTACATTTGGTTGACACATTCAACAATACCTACCATTATGTTGATGATATTTTTTCGTTAAATAATCCAGAGTTCTCTCAAATTCTCAATATACTACCTAAATTTACCCAAAGGAACTTACTTTAAATAAATCTAACATAAACAGCAGTAGTTGTCCTTTTCTAGATTTAAACATTTCAATTTCTAAAGGGAAACTCCATACTCAAATTTACGACAAAAGAGATGATTTTTCATTTCCTATTGTTAATTTTCCTTTTTTAAATGGCAATGTTCCTTTGGCTCCATCATACAGTGTTTATATATCCCAACTCATTCGTTATGCTCGTGTGTGTAGTGATGTCGTAGATTTTAACAAACGCAATCAGTGTATAATTTGGAGTTTAGTATGACGTCCATTATCACTGAACTAGTATACATATTTGTTTAGGGGCCAGCTGAAGGACGCCTCCGGGTGCGGGAGTTTCTCCCTGCATTGAAGACCCATTGGTGGCCTATGGCTTTGTCTGCTCTATGGTTGGGTTGTTGTCTCTTTGACACATTCCCCATTTCCATTCTCAATTTTATCACTGGTAAATTATCAAGTCAGGGATTTTGTTACCATAAATTACTTAAAACTTTTACTAAATTCTTTCATAGATACAAAGATTTGACCAGTAAATTTAGCTGTACCTGTAGAAAACTTATCAAAAACAGTATTTCACATCCAAACTTATTAGGTAAGGTTATCTTATTAATGTTGTAATAAGATCTTTGAATATTGTTTACATTGGCACAAATATTGATTTTGTCATCAACAAATTAAAAAATAACAAAATTTGTATTCTTTTCGAATGTTCTTTTGGGATGTATAAATACACATCCACGTTCATTTTCTATATAAAGATTGCCTTATCTATATATAATATATGTCCTAAGTCAGGAACTGTTGTTCAGTGGTTGTTTTTTGTTGATGTGGTTTATAAAGTGTTTCTCGTTTCTCATTTTTTTTTATAAAGATTAGACCATTGGTTTTCCTGTTTGAAATGTTTTACACTAATCATTTTGGGGCCCTTTATAGCTTGCTGTTCGGTGTGAGCCAAGACTCTGTGTTGAAGGCCATTCTTTGACTGACCTATAATGGTTTACTTTTTACAAATTGTGACTTGGATGGAGAGTTGTCTCATTGGCACTAATACCACATCTTCTTATATCTATCATATTCATGATATTATGCCAAGTTCAAAATAATCCTTAAAGAGGTATTAGCTGTCAAATTCAGGTACACCAATTTGACTCAAATTCTAATATCTCCAAATTACAAAAAGTCAAAAATAAACAATTAACAATGCATGGACTCGATAATATGTATCAGCATTTCCTGTTTATCTCAGTCTAGACGTCATCTTATTAACCATTAAGATGACCCTTGAATACTGCTGACAGTCATATAACTCAATATAAACAAAAAAATAAATATAAAAAGATAGCGACCATGTGCTATTGGATTTTTCTAGGTCTGTTTGATTTCATATTATAGGTTAAAAATGTATGTTTATTATTTGTTTTACCTGTATAAGAAGAGATTTTTTGTGAATTGAATCAGCCAACCAAATGGCTCATTTTGTTTCATTTTCAATATTGACATTCTTTTCCTTTTTTTAATAGCTGAACACATGTGTAACCCATCCTAAGGGATATTGTCTACAAAAATCTATTTTATTCTAATAATGAAACAATTCAGAAATAGTATTATGGGAATGCCACTGTAACATAAAATTTACAATGACATTGAGACTATGTTGCATAAAGAGCAAAAAAAAAAACAAAGTTACTATTTAAAACTTGTTGATATAAAGCCAACTGTCATGACTGTTATAAAGCATATGATGCATGATTCATTGACTCATAGATACTATTGATATTAAACAATCTTCTCATACTGATATTTTCCTTATTTGTAAACATGTATGTTTGTTATTGAAAGTATTCTTGTTTATATTAGACTTATTTCAGTTCTGATTGTGCTTTTTGTAAAGGGTATATTCAATGAAAAATTCGTAAGGGTTCCGCGGAACCCAGTGTCTCGCCTACTTTTGCTGCTAGTCACAGGCTCAACAAAAATTGGGAAAAAATTATTAAAAATTTTCTTATAGATACTATCTTTGATTGTAAGAAGCATCTTTCCAAGTTTGGTAAAAATCCAGAATGGTTTATGAATCCAATAAATGTTTTAAAAACTTTAACCACAGAGTGAATGTTATGATAACTGGCAGAAAAACTAAGTCCATTTATAAGTAAAATACGGAAAAACAGGATTTTTTTTTTACAAAATTTACTTCTAGATACTTAGCTTTTGATCATAAACAAGCTTCTGTTCAAGTTTGGTACAAATCCAGGATAGTTTAAGAAAGTTATTAAAATTTTAAAAACTTTAACCACAGAGTGAATGTAATGTTAACTGGCAGAAAAACTAAGTCCATTTATAAGTAAAATACGGAAAAACAGGATTTTTTTTTTTTACAAAATTTCCTTCTAGATACTTAGCTTTTGATCATAAACAAGCTCTTCAAGTTTATTACAAATCCAGGATAGTTTAAGAAAGTGATTAAAATTTTATAAACTTTAACCACAGAGTGAATGTAATGTTAACTGGCAGAAAAACTAAGTCCATTTATAAGTAAAATACGGAAAAACAGGATTTTTTTTTTTACAAAATTTCCTTCTAGATACTAGCTTTTGATCATAAACAAGCTTCTGTTCAAGTTTGATACAAATCCATGATAGTTTAAGAAAGTGATTAAAATTTTATAAACTTTAACCACAGAGTGAATGTAATGTTAACTGGCAGAAAAACTAAGTCCATTTATAAGTAAAATACGGAAAAACAGGATTTTTTTTTTTTACAAAATTTCCTTCTAGATACTTAGCTTTTGATCATAAACAAGCTACTGTCCAAGTTTGATACAAATCCATGATAGTTTAAGAAAGTGATTAAAATTTTATAAACTTTAACCACAGAGTGAATGTTATGTTAACTGGCACAAAAACTAAGTCCATTTATAAGAAAAATATGGAAAAACAGGATTTTTTTTTTTACAAAATTTCCTTCTAGATACTTAGCTTTTGATCATAAACAAGCTTCTTCAAGTTTATTACAAATCCAGGATAGTTTAAGAAAGTGATTAAAATTTTATAAACTTTAACCACAGAGTGAATGTAATGTTAACTGGCAGAAAAACTAAGTCCATTTATAAGTAAAATACGGAAAAACAGGATTTTTTTTTTTTTACAAAATTTCCTTCTAGATACTTAGCTTTTGATCATAAACAAGCTTCTGTCCAAGTTTGATACAAATCCATGATAGTTTAAGAAAGTGATTAAAATTTTATAAACTTTAACCACAGAGTGAATGTAATGTTAACTGGCAGAAAAACTAAGTCCATTTATAAGTAAAATACGGAAAAACAGGATTTTTTTTTTTTACAAAATTTCCTTCTAGATACTTAGCTTTTGATCATAAACAAGCTCCTGTCCAAGTTTGATACAAATCCATGATAGTTTAAGAAAGTTATTAAAATTTTAAAAACTTTAACCACAGAGTGAATGTAATGTTAACTGGCAGAAAAACTAAGTCCATTTATAAGTAGAATACGGAAAAACAGGATTTTTTTTTTTACAAAATTTACTTCTGGATACTATCTTATGATCATAAACGAGCTTTTGTCCAAGTTTGGTAGAAATGTAGGATCGCTATGTCTCGATTTTGCAACAAAAGTTGCAGGCTTGACAAAAAATGTGATTGAAGCAAGCAAAGATGTACCGTATATTCGGTTTTTTTCGCGTCAACTTTTTTTCGCGATTTGATGACAAAATGGGCAGGTTAAATTTTCGCTGTGTATAATTTTCGATGAATGGAAAAATACACGCGAAAAATAACTGTATCGCATTATTAAAAATGTTTACAACGTAAACTTGATTGACTGACAGGTAATCAATTGCAAATAAATATGAGTACTACAAACGAAAATACACATAATTCAGTGAACTTACAAGGAACATAAAATATGTACAGACATTGGGGCATGCTAAAAAATGAAGGTTTTGTTCATTACAGATAGACAAATATCCTTGTAAATGTGATTTGTTTTTATTTCTTATTTTACATAAGATGCAAAATGTTCGTGTTATGACATCAATCAATAGATGGTCGCTAATTAACATCTTTTAACCTGTCACTGATTGCTGTGTTGTCAAAAAGTGTGCCATGTATGATTAATCATTTTAATTATTATATAAACAGATATCTTAATTAAGCATACACTTTCTTGTGATCTACCAAACAACACAAAAGACTTGACAATCAACAGTATGATATATGAAACTTTCAAACAATGATAAATCTGGGAATATGCAGTGAAATTTACGCGGGGTCAAACTTTCGCGTTTCTTTAGCTGCAGCGAACAAAGCGAAAATTAGACACACGCGAAAAATACCCAATATACGGTATAATGCATAAGGAGGAGTTTTGCATACAATTATATCAGCCAACTGTGATCAAGAAAATATTTCAAAAATCCTTTTTCATCAACATTTATCACAATGTCATTGTATTTTTATTGTATGACATAACATTCATTTCTATAAATAAAACATTGATTCATTTTTTGTATTCCAAAATTTCCTCCTTTAATCTCCATTATGAAAGATTGTTTTCATTTTTACATGTTTGATACAATTCTTCTTCAAATGTATGTATATAAAACTAGATAACTATGTATCAAATTATATATCTTTACAGTAAATATAGCATTGGTACTGTACATGTGGATTCATTATAATTCGTTGGATACCTATTTTCATTGATTTTATAGGTTTAGGTAAACCACAAATTTAAAATGTTCAATGCAGACTTAAGCAAATCCATTAAATCAAATATTCAGGAAATAAAGTTTTTTTTTGTCAATCTAAAATAATTCGTACCCAAGATTTTTTTTATTAATTTTAATTATCTGTTATTCAATTTATCTTTTATCTAAATTTTATGGTGATTTTGTGCATTATTCCACTATGTCCCATGTACAATTGTATGTCATGTAATAACAGAGTGCCAAGATACTAAAATAAAAAAATAATTGTCGTAGTCTATGGAATTATAAAACTAGTACATGTATTTCATATTTTTCCACAATTTAGATAGTCAGAAGTTTTTCACAAAAAGCAGTATTATAGTTTAAAATAAAATATTGTGCTTTAAAGTTTCATAGTTCATATGCTACTTGTTTCTGATTATAACAAGGAAGTAAAAACTTTACTAAAAATTGATTAAGTGCATGATACCTATTTATGATATAAAAGCTTCACTTAAAATAACTTTACACTTGTTGACATATATGTACACAATCAACAGTTTTCGTGACTTTTTCTATTCTGCCTTAAATCTTTTTTCGTGAATGCTAATTTCTTATAGTCTCACAGAAGTTCTAGAACATTTAACATGTAAGTGAACATTAAACTTCAGCATCATAAAAGGCCAAGAGTTTGCTGGTGACATGTATATTTCAATTATTATAAATAGATAATAAGATTAAAACAAGTAAATAAAAAAAACCTAAAAAATGAAGAATACTAAAATCATATTTAGCCAATGTTAACTTTAGACATTTTGGATTTTGTTTTGAGATTCTTTATGTTTTTGGATTTCAAAATTTTTATCTTGAACATCTCTGATAAATGTCATTCCAGAAAAGTGTAAATATATGTTTTGATATCATATGTTTATCAATTTGTATTGGTATCATATATCTATCATTTTGTTTTGGTATAATATATTTATCATTTTGTATTGGTATCACATATTTATCATTTTGTATTGGTATCACATATTTATCATTTTGTATTGGTATCACATATTTATCATTTTGTATTGGTATCATATATTTACCATTTTGTTTTGGTATAATATATTTATCATTTTGTTTTGGTATAATATATTTATCATTTTGTATTGGTATCACATATTTATCATTTTGTATTGGTATCACATATTTATCATTTTGTATTGGTATCATATATTTATCATTTTGTATTGGTATCACATATTTATCATTTTGTATTGATATCACATATTTATCATTTTGTATTGGTATCATATATTTATCATTTTGTATTGGTATCATTTATTTATCATTTGGTATTGGTATCACATATTTACTCATTTTGTATTATTTTTCATTTTTTTTATTGATGTGTAAAAGCATTGACCAAACAATATTATGTTTGAGGCTCTAAAGTGCTTGAATTCTATTTTATTGGGACATTAAACTTCACTTTAAAACACCACATGATTGACGTCTGCCCCAACAAAATGATGGAATCTTTATTAAACATCAATGTAATGTTATCATTAGTATATATGCACTACAAAATGTTTCTCTATTTTGTAAATCTGCATCTTACATACATGTAAATAGAATTGTTCAACAAAAATAAATTTGTTAGAATAACATTTTGTCCTCATCATTATCCCTTAACATGACTATGAATAAAAGGAGATGTGGGGAAAACATCAATGATACAGCAATGCAAAGACACAAATAACCAAAAGACATCAAGAAGTAAAATTGCAATAGATCACATATATAACTGATCCTTTATGAATTGCGTGCATAATATCTGGTATGTGTGTTTGAATCAAGTGCCTTCATGCAGGTGAGGAATTGCTTGATTTGGCATGTGTATATTCATGTGTTCGCTAAATATGCCATTGGAAGCCATAATAATTTCAAAACTATACAAAAATTCATCAAACAAAAGAATTACAGGAATAGCAAAAAAAAAAAGATAATACACCATACCTACCAACAAAAACTGACACCTCCAATAAAATAGATGTGAAAAGCAAACAACACCATGTCCAGATATCCTGACTTGGTACAGGCACACAATGTTGAGGGGTTTTGTAAGTCTGTGCAAATCTGTTCATTGGGGGATATAAAATGTAAAAACCACACTTAGTTTGATTGATTGATTGATTGGTGTTCAAAGCCACTTTCAACACTATTGTGCTATTTCGTAACGGTCAGTTTTTATTTGTGGATGAAGCTGGAGTGCCCGGAGAGAACCAGCGACCTTCTATAGGAAAACTGACAATCCTAGTCAATTAAGATTGGAGTCGAGTGCACCTGCCCCGTGCAGAATTCGAACTCACATCCTCAGTGATGACAGGCTAGTGATACAGTAGTTCCACTACTTAGACCACTCGGCCACCGAGGCAACACCTTGACGGTGCTTATATGTACATATGGTTTGTTTATAATAAGTTGGTTGGTCAGTCTTCATTAAAATTAGAATATATTAGAAGAAAGAAAGGATAATTGCTTTAAATTTTCATAGTGAGAGGTAAAAGGTCAAGTTGAAGTCGAGGATCAATTTGTCTATATGTAACATATTTCAAGTCAACATATGTCAGACCAGGCACCTTGTGAAAATTACAAAATTGATATATTTCATCAGTATGCATGATGAAGAGAGGATGATTAATGCTGATTTTAATGAATGAACAGAAAAATCAAGCTAAGGACACACATAGACAAAAATTCCATTATCACACTTTGTTTGCATTTTCACAATGAGAAGAGATGTGAGCTCTTTGATATCAAACATTAGATTTCAAAGGCCAAGCAGGATCAAGGATAAAAATACAGACAAACAGGTTATCACCCTTGACATACATGACCACCATGAGAAAACCATCACTGCTGTTCAAGATGAGATTTCAAAGGTCAAGTTTTGATTAAACACAATAAAGTACTGAATACATCATACAAGAAAACAATTATTCCAATAAGTTTGGATTTCAGGACCACCACCCTTCTATAGTGCCTTCATTTTCCCTGAAAGAATCATGCATTGAATAAAATGCAATTCACACTTTAAAGTTAAAACACTATTTCAAAGATAACAACGGATAACTACAACTATTAAATAGTACTAATAAGTCCATAGAATAAATACAATTCCAATTCCAATTCATGCATCTCAAAAATGATTTACAAAAACCATTTAGCACATGTAAGTTTAACTGAAAACGTACCAATTACAAAGTCTTCGTGGCAAAAAAATTAATTGAGAATTATTTTTCTTGACTGCAAAATTTGTCAAGAAAAGAATCCATATTTTTAATGAATAAACAACCTACAATATTAATTGATCTTGTGCACATTTTTAGTATGAAGTGCTATCTCGCTTCATACAATATGCACTTCGGTCAACGCTTTTACAGCTCATTAAAATAACAAAAAGAGGCCTTCAAATCTTATATAAACAAGTGTACAAAATTTCAAGTTGATCTGATCGCAAAATACTATAAACCGAACCTTTAACCTGATACTCAGCAGTACAGAAGAGACTAACAGTAGGGCAGACAGACGAATGGACAGACCAGACAGGCATAATAATATATTACATACTGATATGCATCTTATGGATGTCCTGTAGATTGCATGGACACAAAAAAATATAACAAAGATGCTTAACCATGTATTACAATGCCATGGTAATAGACTTTTTTCATATTACCGACTTTCGACTCCAGATTATAACATTTTTGGACAGATTACCTACTTTATGGTAGGACATCCTGGTACTCCTTTAAGTAAGCAACCAGAAGAAGTAAAATGATACATATAATCGGTGCAATTTGGGCGGAAAGTTAACTGTTTTCCGATAATTTTGTGGTGCATAGAAAACATATAACAATTAATTTTCCTCCAAAATTGTACTGATTGAGAGCATAAATTTACTTCTTTTGGTTGCTCTTACTTGACCAAGTACTAGGATGTCCTACCACAGATTAGGTTACCTATCGAAAAATTATATAATCCAGAGTCATAAGTCGGTAACATGAAAATAGTCTATTGTAACATGAACTCTGTCTGTGTGTTGTGATTCTTTGCATTGTGTATGAGTTTCATAAAATTTGGATGAGACAAACTTAAGTAACAGTGCGAAAACTGAAAAATTTGCAATTTTACAAATTATAAAGGGGCATAATTCTAGAACGGTTAATGGCATACTGCCAAAATTAAAACTGTATCTGCGTCTTGTGGTTTTTAGCATTGTGTATGAGTTTCATAAAATTTGGATGAGGCAAACTTAAGTTAGAGTGCGGAAACAAAATACAATTTGCAATTTTCCAAGTTATAAAAGGGCTCTAAAAGTGACTGGCTGCCCAAATTCGTACTCTGTTTGCAAGTTTTGGTTATTAGCATTGTGAGTTCCATAACATTTGGATAAGGAAGACTTAAGTTAAAGTGCGGAAACGAAAATGGGATGGACAGAAGGAAGGAAGAACAGATGGAAGGGCGGCCAAGGGTAACACTTATTGCCCCTGTTGCCTATGGCGGGGGCATAAGCATAAAAAATGCGATATTACATCCATCTAACAACCTAAAGTCATAGGGGTAGTGGTGAATAAAGGAAACAAACCAAAATTTATAAATTGAAATTACTAACTAGATTATACAACTTAAACATGGACTTCAGTGGAAAGACTTAACTAGGGCTTCAAAAACAAATATTTCAGCTGGACATTTTTTTTCCAATACCAATTTAATCTCTGTTCCTTTTGTAACTAAAGTCATTCAGTTAATCATGGTAACAATGAAAGTGATCAAGGCTTACAAATTTGGTCACAACACATTGAAACAGTTACTTCATCTTTTGATTGTTTTCCATTAAGTTATCTTGTTATTTCATATGGGTTCAACTACCAACAGTGATACCTTTAAAGTGTAGATTGTCAAAGAACTAAAGTATGAGCTAAATGGTACACTTTATTATTTTTTTTTATTTTTTTTAAACTTTTGTATGCATATTTGATTTTTAAACCTGCATGCATTAGCACACAGGTACGTATGTGAAAAATGTAGGAAAAACCTATAGAATATAATCAGTTTTGAAATTATTTTGACTAACTAAATTATCTTTTGCTAAAATAAATTAGTTGCAAACTAGTCAAACATTGAAGACAAATTCAAAAAGATCAATCAATGTCTGGTACTTCTTTACTGTAAGGTACACAGGTAAAATCACAGCTGCCAAATGACCTTTGCTAATTGCCTATTAATAGTATACAAAGACTTTTTCTGTTGGACTATTGGTTACCCATGAAGACAGGACATGTTAATCATTGTAAACTTAATGTCCTTTGTCCAAACTTATAAGGGTTTAAATGACTTTTTACCAGATATATTCTACAAATATAAATCAATTGTTTTAAAAACAATTGTTAACGGTCTTTCCCCTCCGAAACATGATTGATTGATTGATTGATTGATTATTTGATTGATTGACTAATTAAACACATGGGATAGGGTCTCTTGAAACAAGCGAACAAGACACAAATGAGATCTTGGACCCTGTATTAAACACATGGGACCGAAACATGCATGCAATGATTGATTGGTTGGTTGGTTGGTTGGTTAAACACATGGGACTTAGCCTCTAGGAACACGCGAAAAAGGAATTGATAGCCTAGTTCCTGTGTTTAAACACTTGGGACCTAGCCTCAAGGAAAACGCGAAAAAGGAATTGATAGCCTAGTTCCCGTGTTTAAACACTTGAGACCTAGCCTCTAGGAACACGCGAAAAAGGTAATGATAGCCTAGTTCCCATGTTTAAACACGTGGGACCTAGCCTCTAGGAACACGCCAAAAAGGAATTGAGAGCCTAGTTGCCATGTTTAAACACTTGGAACATAGCCTCTAGGAACACGCAAAAACGGGTCCGTGCAACATGTTTATTTATATTTAAATTATGATATTTGTAGGAACATGCAAGGATTTAAACACTCCTAGGCTTCCTGGAATTTGTGTCTTATTTACTTATTGTGTGTGCATTGTATTCAATTTTGTATTTAAAGGAAATTGGACCTGACCTGCATGGATCTTTTGTTTTTAATCTACGTGCACATTTTAATTCTTTTCGAAAAGGGGAAAACCCCTATTTTATATTAGGTAGCACGAGTAGCAGATGGTGTAATTGTGACGTCACCAAGCTGATATACACAAAAAGACTGTTTTTAAAATTTCATTGCAGAGGAGGATGTCGTCCAGACCAGACCTAGCTGTGTATAAAGATTGTGCTAACGGATTTAATTTTCTTTTATTTACAGGTCATTGATGCTTTTTTCGTACGCATATTTACTGGAGCACAGAATTGTATTTTAATGCATGTTTAGAAATTTGATTGTAGGATTTCACTTATATTTACGAGCTTTGGAGAGATTTCTACGTCATTGATTTTAATTTCTCAATCCATATTGGAACATCAAGCGGACTGCACATGATTTATACTGCTAACGAAAATGTATTTTCTTAATTCAGTTTACAGGTAAACTATTGTCCAATCGCTGACCACTAGTCTTCATTCATTGCATCAAAGCACACAAAAATAATGCTGGTGTTATAGTACTTTAACAAAACTTTTATCAATTAATATCAGA